AACATGTAAGGAGCTAGGGCTAAAGAAGGTTTTCTTTTCTCTTCAAAATATTTAGACTTAGTTACATAGGAACACGTACAGGGGAGAGCAGGCTGGAAGAGGGGCCAGGGATGACACTAGCCCCAGAGGAGGGCCTGGCCTGGAGGCCTGGAGGTGCGGGCCGCCAGGTGCGGTTTCAGCTCTGCTTGTCCGGGGAGACTTTAGAAGAGGCGGCCTGCCCCGCCCCCACACCCCCCCAGCTCTTTGAAATGGAATCTCTGAGGGTGGGGCTGTGGCAGAACTTTCTTGCAGAATGAAGTCCATGGTCTGTGGGCTGCTATCTCAGGGCCCTTTCTTCCGGGTTCCTGATCGTCTGGGCGGGGAGGTCGCCGGCTGGGCGCGCCCCAGGGAAGACTGGGGCTTGCACTGTAATCACAGTAGGAATGTCTACTCGAGTATCATTTGCTTATCCACAGGCATCTGCCCTGGAATGCTGGCGATAGCTGAAGTATGAAGACCAGGATTGTTTTGATTTAGGAATGTTTGTACATTCTTGTTTTAGTGTTTGCCCAGGAGAAGTAGAAGATAAACTTGCTAATTGAATGTGCCCTTTATAGAAGGGTAGAGCCTTCTTTTCCCTCTTCCCTTTTTCTCTTCTTTCCTTCTTGTGCCCTTGTCTTCCCTCGCCCTTCCCTTCCCTTCCCCATCCGTAGTGTCACCTGGCGGTGGGAATGGAGCAAGCTTTCCTCTGTCACGGGTGTGCAGACACTTGAGGACTTAGGGTGCTGAGGGGTGGGATCAGGAGGTGCTGAGCTAGGGAGTGTCCGGATGGTCTGGAGGTTGGTTAAGGTTGGGTAGGAGTAAATAAGTACACTGATTGAGCAAATACATACGTATGTTCACATATATACACATCCATCCATCCATCCATCCATCCATCCATCCATCCATCTATCCATCATCCAACCATCCATCATCCAACCATTCATCATCCAACCATTCATCATCCATTCATCCATCATACAACCATCCATCCATCCATCCATCCATCCATCATCCATCCATCCATCATCCCTCCAT